CATTTCCTACACATCAGGTGAGGAATGTTCTCTATACTGCGTGCTTCTAGGAACAGGAAATACAAATCGTCATCTTTGAGGTCCAGGCATCAACTTGGTGAAGAAGAACCTGGTACCTAGCGTTCAGGATCAAAAGCTTGATGTAGCTAAAGATATTCACCGCATCTTCTTCTACAATTTAAAAGTCAACCGCAGTAGTTATCACAAAAGAAAAAACAAAACCAGTTCTAGACATACACATCGGACTTCCTGAGCTGACAATGAGCGCTCCCTCAGTAATAAATCCTGTCATATTTACTTCAAATGATACACATTTTAGATTAGCTCACCTTGTTACATAGGTCACCCCAGAGCCACAGTATATTTCACGGTATTTGGAAGGATCCAGAAAGAATTCCCACCCAGAGCCCGCTTTTCCCACCTTCTCTGTCCCTTCCTTCCTTCCTTCCTTCCTTCCTTCCTTCCTTCCTTCCATTTCTTTACCCTTCTCTTCTTCATTCACCCCCTCATTCCCTTTCTCCCCTCTTCCCTTCTACCTTCCTTTCCCCTCCCTCTCTCCATGCCTCCGACCTCTCTGCTTCATTTCTGAAACCCCTCCTTCTTCTACCTTCTCTTTAGACCACCAAATTCAAACTTCCTGTGATTCGAAACACTATCCGCAAGCCAAGCCGGCGAGGCTCCACGCTCAGTCTGTCTCGGACCAGCGGGGGATCCTCCCCGCAGAGCAGCATGATCTCAGGGAACCCTGGCTCCGACGAACCTCAGAGCTTGATCACCCAGGGGACCAGCAGCAAAGACATGGAGGATAATGAACTCTCTTCAACCAAGCCAGATGAAGAACCTCTTCACATCTGTAAGTCCTATCTGAGAGGGGCCTCTACGCCTGGAGGCCTTTACCAGCTCTTCCAGCTCCATCTCTACCCCCGCTCAGAGAGTGGAGATACAGAGGTCCCTGCCCTATTCAATCTTCTTGGATCCCTTTCTTTTCCTTCAGCAGGGATCAGAAATACATTCTATAGTTTGAATTACGCCAAGCCCTTCCTCCTGGGGAAGTGCTCCATGGCCACTTGTTGATCTTTCTGAATTTTAAAACTATTATTTTATTTGCCCCCAGTTTATTTGGAATACTGTCATTTCAATGTGTGACCAATATAAAATTTAGTGAGATAGTTTATGTCATTTTTTTTCATACTGAGTCTTTCAAATTCAGTACCTACGTCTAAACAGCTATGTTGAGGTATTAATTACATGCCATAAAATTCACTCATCTTAAATGTACAATTTGCTAATTTCAGTAAGCTTACAAAATTGTACATCCATCTCTGCAATCTGATTTTAGAACATTTTCATCAATCTAAAAGTAAACCTCATGTCTATTAGCAGTGTGTCTCTCTCTCTCTCGAGCCAGTCACCAAGCAGCCACAAATCTACTTTCTGTCTCTACAGATTTTCCTTTCTTTTTTTTTCTTTTTTTGGTACTGGGGATCCAACTCGGGTCGCTGTGCTTGCAAGGCAGGTGGCAGAACCACTGAGCTAAATCCCCGGCCCCCAGATTTGTCTTTTCTATGATCCCTCCCCCAGAAACAAGGCTTTTCAGCATCCCACAATGTAGGAGACACAGACCTTTTGGAACATCCATTGAACGCTATGGGCCCTTGCTCAAGAAGAAAATTCACCCTTGTGTATGCATACCATTTGTCATATAGTCGGGGCTGGGAAGACTGTAGCCCTCAATCAGATGACAGAATTGTGATTGGATTCTATACGTGGTATCAAGAATCCATTCCCAAAACTTTCTAGCTTAAGGTGGTGTAGCAAAAGGAAATAGGAAAAGAAAGAGGAGGACTCATATAGAAAGACAGAGAAGGGAGAAGGGAGAAAGAAAGACAGGCACCTGAAGAAATTTGCAAAATTATTGACTCTGGTGCCCAGAATATCTTCTTCCTGTGTCCCCATCTGTCTCTCCCCTTGGGGGCATCCAAGCCAAGGCCTGCCTACGTGACCAACATTCTTTCACACTACCTTCAACGTGTCTGGAAACCAAGGCTGGGCAGGGATAACAAGGACTGGGTGTAGCATAGATCCACGGAGGATGGAAAGGAGGTAAAAACAGACTGAGAGTGTGCAGAGGACCCTGCTAGTCATAGTCAAGGGTGGGCAGAAATGCAACTGTCCAGGAAGTGGCTAGGACTCAGAGTAGGAACTGCAGTAAGAAAGCCCCACCACCTTGCCTTCTCAACAGGGGATGAGAAAGGTCCCCAAACCCTGAAAAGCTGTTCTCTGAACACAAGTGTTATCTGAGATAAAAAGGACCTACATACAACCATCAGCAGATATGTGATTCTTCCTGATTTCTTAAATATATAGTTCCTTCAGTACCTATTTGTGGAATGCCTGCTCTGTGAAAGGAACCGAGGTATAGTATGTTTTAGAAGAAAGAGAAAGACTATAGACAAGAACACTAGAAGTAGCAGTGCAGTTGGAAATGCTGAAGACAGACTCCTGATTGAAGTGGGGATGATTTATTCAGGACGATAAAGGAAAGCCCCTCTCAGCTCTAACTTTCAAGCTCAAACCTGAAGAATTGAAGCTGAGGAGGGAAGTAGGTCCAGAGTATTTCAACTTCCTAGTCTCGCTGCCTCTTCTCCTGCCTCCACTCACTTATAAGCCACAGAGAACTTTCTAAGTTAGACATCTAGTACTGTCCATCTTAACATCTATCAATGACTCCTCATTGCTTCTGAATTTCTCCCAGGCTTCCTTTAATTGCCTCAGATTTTCCCACTCCATACCTTAAACGGGGCAGCGCAACCTTACCACCGTACTTCCCTCTTCTCAAACAAGCCATATTCTTACACAATTTACTCTCCTTGAAATCCTCTTTCAGTCTGGTGGATGTTTACTCAACCCTCCAGACCCAGCTCAAATGTTTCCTCCTCTCTAAAGCCTTACCTGACTCCCCTGGGATTCCCATCTTTCAAGTCTCTTAGCATTTGGTTCTTATTGAGTATTTAATAATCTCACTGTATCAGGTGGGAACTACTTTGGGCTAATACAGAGATCTGAAAGAGTGACTTAAAGGAGATCTAAACAACTTTAAGTGAATCCAGAGGCTTTAAAATGAATCCAAAGGTCATCATGAAGCCTATTTCTTCTACTTACTCTACCATCTTCAGTAGGAATCATGATCCAATATGGCTGCCACATTCCAGGTTTAAAGCAGAAAGAAAGTACACAAAATATAAAAGTGCCCACACAGCTGGCATGCTGGTATATGTCTGTAATCCCAGAACTCTGGGAGGCTGAGAGAAGAGGATAGCAAATTCCAGCCCAGCCTGAGTAACTTAGTATCTAGCAAGACCCTGTCTCAAATTTTTAAAAAAATATAGATACAAAGGCTGAGGATATATCTCAGCATAGACACCCTGGACTCAATCCCTAATACTGCAACAAACAAACAAACAAACAAAAGTGCCCAGACTCAGCAGTATTTAAGCAACATTCTCAGAAGTTCCATACTACACTTCTATTGAAATCTCATCATTCAGAAACCTCATCACCAACTCATGTCCAACTGCAAAGGATGCTGGGAAAATTAGCTAGCAAATGTTTCCCTTTCACCACATTAAAAAAAAAAACACATAGTTCTACTGCTAAGGGAAAGGAATGTGAGATCCATGCAGTCATGAATGCCTTACCTTCAGCCTGGTACACAGCAATGGCTACGAAATGCATTTCCATCAGAGATCTACTTCTAGAAAGGAAAATCCTTCTACTTTAGTGCCCTCTTCCTCCATTTATACATTAACTTCCATCCTTTTTGTCAGAGCTTTGACAAAAGTAGATTAATTTCCCAGTCTCTCACTGCCTTCTAAAACTTCCTCAAATTGATTCTGAATTCATGGATCCTATTCTGAGAGCTGCACCATTTGACCAAGGTCTAATTTCCAGGGTGAGCTGCATAATGAAGTCTTTGTACATGCAGATCACTGCAGACAGCACGTTGTGGCCTCTCTGTGGACAGATACCCTTCCTAAATCAATAGCTGGGGAATTCCCAAGAAACTAACACCCACGTCATTTCTTCTGCCAGTCTTGGAACCAGTACAGGAGAAAAATCACTTACATAGGAAATAAAAAATGTGGCCCCTATACCATACAACATTCTCCCTTAAACCAACCCATAAAACAAAAGACCTCTCTTATTTTCCCCAAAAAGAAGAGAAAATGAATTTAAGTCACTTGAAGTTTGAATTCTTAGACAAGCAGGGGTTAGAAGATGGAGGAAGAAAGTCAGTTTCTTTTTTATATGACTTGGCATCTGAGAATCCAGGGTGCCATTTTCTCTGAGCTGTAGGTCACAGCAGTCCACAGCCTCGGGAACTGAGAACCAAGCAGGCTCCTCTGTGTGTGAGTATCCATCATGAGACTGTCTTTGTCAGGGAAACTCCACACTGTAGCATTTGCAGCCTTTCCAAACAAGTCCATTCTCCCAGGGAGCCTTGAGAAGTCCCAAGACTTTGTTCTACTTCACACATGTTCAAGCTCAAATACATGATGCATAATATTTCATAATGGTACCATTCTTCCTCAGAGACATGTAGCTAGCAGGAAAAAAATATGTGGTTTACTGAGCACAAAGCTTTACATGTAATCCTCAGGAGGGATGCCCAGTGTGTCAGGTCACTGGGGCCATTTGCGGTATCCACCCACACCTTGTCTGCTTTGCTGATGGGTAGGATAGAAGGAAGTGGAGCATTGTCCATTGCTGATGCTTGGTTCCCAAGAAAAAAAAGAAAGAAGAGGAACGAGCAATCACTCACTCACTAATAGGCTCCTGTCACTCCTGAAGGATTCTGGGATGTGTGATGACAGCATATGTGGACATGTCAAGACCAAAATGAAAGTTAGATTCAGGAAAAATGAAACCATGTCCACAATGAAGATAGAATGGAAAATGGTTAAATCTTAATATTTATTGTAGCCTAGATGACTCCAAGGTTACTAAGAAGTGACACTCTTTCCCTAACCCTCAGTGAGTGCTTTCATAAACAAGACTGGACACAAATAGTCTTGGGTAGCTCCAGGGTTCAGGCCTCCCTTCCAGATATGGCTTTTGACATCTGGGCATGTGGTAACTACAGGCACCCAGAAGGGGTGGAAAGTGTCTTCACTAGGAAAGTGCCTTTCACAGATCTAGCTCTCTGTCCTCCAGATCCCTAGTTTTTTCTCCTTAGTAAGTTCACTCATCCAATCTGCAACTATGGACTGAGATTCCATGTGTCAAGAGCTCTGCCTGTGCTACCAATAGAAAGACAATTAAAATGTGACCCCTGACATCAAGGAACTCACAGGCTAAAAAAGGGAGACCCACATCTGAACAGCAATTGCCATCCCATAATATCAGTGCTGTAAGGGAGGTCAGGAGAACAGTGTACTGAAGGAGTCTGCAGGTAGACCTATTGCCACGTACTGTGGATGAAGGAAGAGAATACGCTTTCAGAATACCAGAGAATGCAGGAAAATGTGAAAGTTCTAGCAAAAGTTTACAAAACCAACATCAGCCCCTCTACTCTCTCTTCTGAGACAGTAAAAAAACCACCAGTATTTTCTATCATGAGAAAAAATAAAAATCAAAAATTATTTTTACTCCAGCCATGTGGCATGGAGCTAGCCATATAACAGGTCTGCACACTTAGGGATGTGAACAGGTTGCACTGCTGGGAGTACATATTCAAGGTTCTCCCTTCAGTTGCTTAAATTCCATTAATTACCAGTGTAGGATTTTCCTTGATTCCTGGAATTATTTGAAAATTATGTCAAAAGTCCCCTTTTCATTTTCTGGGAAGCCTCTCACCTTCCAATGGTGGTCTGCATGCATAGTTTCTCCTGTTCTTAGTCCAAGCCTCTTTTCTCTCTTGTTTGTAAATCTGAGGGAAAATTCTGGAGTAGACAGTCACTGAGTTACAAGCTTGCACTGTAGCGTTTCAGCACCAAGGACAGCTTCCAACTGGAGGAAAAAGACGTTCTGAATTTCATGGTTTTCTACCAATCTAGTTCCAATTTAGAGAGTACAAATAAGTGAAAGGGCTCGAGGTTTGCACATACATATCAACAGAAAACATGACCATTCACTTGCAATTTCCCATTTTCTTAAAAATATATTTCAAGTTTTGAGAGTGCTGGTGTATTAATTTCTTTAAAAATGCCACAATCCAAGTGCTTAAAGCAACAGAAATTTATCACCTCAAAGTTGTGGATGTTGTACAACCAAGATCAAGGTGCCAGCAGGACCATGCTTTATCTGGAATAAAGGAGGAGCCTTCCTTGACTGTTCTAGCTTCCAGTAGTTGCTGGCGATCTATGGTTTCTAGATCTATCACTCCAATCTCTGCCTCTGACATCACATGGCCCTCTTCCTCCTGTGTGCTTCTCTCTCTTATTATTAGGACACCAGTCATACTGCATAAGGGTGTACTGTACTCTGTGACTTCATCTTAACTCATTATATCCACATTGACTTTATTTCCAAATAAGATCACATTCTGAGTTACTAGAAACTAGGACTTCAGTATATCTTTTGGGAGACAGGATTCAACCCATAACAACTAATTCTGCAGAAGTGTTTCTATGCTGTATAAAAACCAATAAGATTAAGTATGAAAATAAAAGGTAACTAACAGAAGTGGTGGGAACCATGGGGAGCTGGAGAGCACATACTTATCTAAAGGCCACAATCAGCATGCAGCAGGAATGAGGGCAATGAAGCCCCATCTCAGATTCTTTCCCAGACAAGCTAGAGCTCTGAAATTGTATGCAAAACCTTCTAGCTTTAAAAGGTTGGAATACACTTCAAATCTAATGAAATACATTTGTGAGCCAGATTTAGACTGTAAATCACCAGTTTGGAAAGTCAGGCTTATGGAGATCAGAAAGAGTTTCCTGAACAAGATTTCTTCTTGGAATTAGAAACAGTTCTTTCTCATTGCAGCAGAGTTTAATGTGAGTAAAGGAAAAAAGAAAAGCAGCCAAACCCTCCAAGACCTCATAGGCCCATGAGGAGATGTCAAAAGAAAAATGAAAAGTCACTGTAAGATTTTAAGCAGGGCAGTACAAGGTCAGCTTTACAACCTGTGGTGAGCCACCTCATTTGGACCCCAGTGGGATCCCTCTCCAGTTCTGTAACACACAAGACCAAAGGCAACCCCAGTCTGGAGTCTGGCTCCTGCCATGCACAATCCTACTTCAAGTCATGAGTAACCTATTCTGTTCCCATCAGATCTGCAGAAGCTCCTGGAAATGGTTTGGGAAGATGCCCGTAGGACAGTTATGATGGAAAATGAGATACAAAGAAAAGCTCCCAGGTATTTCTCTTGGCAGATAAAAAATGACAATCCTAATGATGATGATATCAACCATAGCAGTTACCATTACTGAGTACTTTCTCTGTGGCAGCACTGTGTTATATACTTTGTTCCTGTGTATTACCTCTTGGGTTTCTACAACAACTCCACAATGTGAGTACTGTTATTTTTATTTTACAAATGAGAGAATGAGGCCCAGAGAGGCTAACTGACTTATTCCGAAGCACACAGCTAGTGAATGGTAAGATCATGACTTAAATTCAGATCTTTCTCATCTCCTCTTTACCACTCCACCACACTGCCCATTGGGAATCCTTATGTTTTTTAATCATTCTTGTCATGAATATTTATGAATATGTGTAGACTCTATAGTAGTTATTACCACAAGAGGTGTGATAAAAGAAGAGTCTGGAAATTTGAGAGGGAAAAAGGTACATTTACCTTGTCTGCGGTGAGGATAGGGATCAGTTTCTTATTCCTTTGGAAGAAACTTCAAGCCAAGATTGGATGAAACAGGAAGCCAAAAATGGTGGGGCACAGACAAGACAGGTGGGGGAAGTGTGTGCAGGCAGCTATGTGTAAGTGTGGTCAGAGAGGACAGTGGCACCTCCAAGGAACAGAAATACATCCAAAACGGGATAGAGAGAGGCATGTACTGGTGTTGGGAATCTCGTTCTAGGGATACTCATCTCAAGGATTCCGGGCAACAGGCATCCTATGAAGTTTGAAGGCAGAAACCAATACAACTGGCTCATTAGAACATGAACCTGGGGTGTCACACTTCTATCAGGAATCCCTGTCTGCGGGACTCCTGACCTCTAAAAGCCTCAGGGAGAATGCAGGCTACAGTCAGAGTTTTCTTCTCAAATGTAGATCCCTGTGAGCAAGCAAGTTGCTTCTTGAAAATAAATGAGGCGGGAGAAGAGGTTCATCATCCCCTTCAGCCTACTGGGATTCGAACAATGACTTATTGGTTATTGTTATTACCATAAGTACAGATCACTGAACACTTTCATGGATCTGTTCACTGCCTCTGCCTGTTAATGATGAATTTACTTGCTGTGGCCTCAACTTCCAATGGGATTCTGGAAGGCGGCACTTGGAAGAACCCAGAGACAATGTTGGCCCGGGAGGCCCATACTGCTGAACCTGACTGGTCAGCATTAGAGGCAGACAATGATTACTATCAGCCCAAGTGGGCCTCTTCTTTTGTAAGAGCTCAGAGCATGAGCAGTGGCTTTGGAGTCAGGGTAACATGGTTCCAAAACCTGGGGCCTTTGGGAAAGTCATTTAGCCTTTCTTTAAACCATCTGTCTTCATCACTAGGACAAAATATTTGGCACCCACAACTTAAAAGAGTAGGAGTTTATTTTTGCTCACAGTTTCAGTCCACAGTGAGCTGGCTCCAAGGCAGAAACTGCACGGTGGAAGGGTAGGGCAGAAGAAAGCTACTCACCCCATGACAGGTAGGAAGCAGAGTAGGAAGATTGCTGCTGGAGGCATGAATACTCCCTTCAGGTCATGGCCCCAGTGACTCACCTACAACCAGGTCCCACTTCCTAATGGCACATTCAACTCCTGAACTCATCGATGGATGAATCCACTGACAAGGGGGTGCCCCGTGATCCAGTCACCTTCCAAGCCTCTGATTCTTTCAGATCTAAGCCATAACACCTCCGTTTGCTCATCTCTACAACGAGACTGTGAAGCGCCAAAGTAGCACCATTGGAACCAAACAGACTAGGAACATCCTCCATCCCATCATTTAACTGCTGTGTGATATTGCTTCGCCTCTCTGAGTCTGATTCCACTTCTGTAAAATGAAGCTCCGTAGCTATCCAAAAGAGTAGTGGTGTGAATTAGATGATGTTCCTCTTGTGAAGTATTTTAAATGTTATGAAAATGAGCCACTTAAAGCATGTAGTGAGATAATCCATTTATTTAACATATTAGCTTGTGCCTGGAGCACAGTAAGCACTCAATAAACAATACTGCTGATGAAGGATGGGAGTTGTGATTACTTTTATTTCCTACATGGTGCCCTGTGAAATCTTTGCAACACCTTGCCAGGACAGGGGCATTAACCATCACTTTGACTCCATTTCAAAGATGGAGCAGAGTGGCGACGAGTGATTTCCACAAAGGTCTTCAAAGACAAAGTCACACTCAAGCCTGGGCCTCAGGAGGCCGTCACATGGGCTCTGCTTCCAATTTAGTGATAACATAACCCTAGTTACAGCAAAAGAACCACTGGAAGTTCCCTTCTTCATTAATTCCTCCAGGAAAGAAATCTCCCTAATCTCTCGCTAAGGCAGCAGCCACAGAAGGCTCACGTAGGAGCTGCAGGAAGACAGGATCATCAGCCAGCTCTGTTCTATCCCCTCACCTGGGAACTGGGGCCTCTTTCTCACTCTACACAACAAGTCTCTTCCCAAGGAGGCTAACGGGAAATCCTGGGGTGTATAGGAACCCTTAAAAGCCAGCCACATCCAGCCCAGCCTCTAAGCCTGACTGGCACAAACACATGGAAGACAACCCACAGCCTTTTCACAAAAATCTGCCAGCAGCCATGTTTCCCAAATATCCCTGGAGAACAAAATGAGCCTGGGGTACCTGTGAAAAATGCAAACACCTAGACCTCACCCCAGAGTCAGAATCTCCAGAGGCAGCTATAGTTTTTAACAAGCACCTCAAATGGGTGGGCACTGTTTCACTGAATGTTGGGGAGCTTTACAGGTGTGCATATGTGTGTTTGTGTGTGTGAGTGTAATTATATAGGGTATGTATATGTATGTATGTGGAGTTCTAGGGGTATGTGTGATTCTAAGGGTGTGTGTGTGTGTGAGATGTGTGTGTAATTCCAGAGTGTGTGTCTCCACACATGCACAGGTAGAATTTAGAGATGGGTACATGTGTGTGTACAACTGTAGATGTAAGGGTATGTGTGTAAGCCTAGGTATTTGAAGCGTGCACTCCAGGGGATGCCCGAGGCCATTTCCCAGGGACCAGCCACCCGCGAGGGGAGGCAGGTCCCACCAAGGCCCGGCTGCTGCAGAGTCTGAGGTGCCAGGACAGGGCGCTTCCCGCTGAGAAGTATCCCCAGCTCTGGGGCCCTTCCAGCTTTCTCTGGCAGTCTGGGAGAGGCTGGGGGCAAGGGGGGCTCATGCGTGGAGTCATGCTTCGGGTGCCCGCACTGGGAGACACGCCTGAAATTGGGAGCAAGGTGACTCTCAGCCTCCCACTTCACCCAGGGAAGCAGGATGGCTGGGCCAAGAGGGGACCATGGGAGGGACACAAGTCACCCAGTCCAATCCACAGTGCAAAGAGTGAATCCATTATAACCCAGGCGGAGAAGAAGGCAGGTTTTGTGATTATTCCCTCAGAAGGGACAGAGAAGACAGACTCTCCAGTACCCCGAGCCTGGTGGCCAGGGAGCTCTGGAACCAACTGGAGACCTCATGGGAAGAACAGCTGTTGGGAACAACAAGAACGTTTAGAAAAAGAAATGAAGGAAGCAAAGAAAATGGTATCAGGACTACAGATTATAAGCCAGAATCATCTGGATCAGAGTATGGAGGAAAGTCAAGACCTAAAGAAAGAACTGCTGAAATGTAAACAAGAAGTCAGAAATTTACGGGAGATCAGGGATGCCCTGCAGCAGAGACTGACTCAGCAGGACACATCTGTTCTTAGCTCAAACAAGAACGACCGTGAGCAACTACAGACAAGGATGAACTGCACAGCCGGCATGTGAATCCGCAGGGGAGGCTAGATGAGAGGAACCGGATCTTGGGAGAACAGGAAAAAGAGCTGGGGCAGAAGGAGCACCTCCTTCAGCAGCACCAGGCCAAGTTGGAGGAAGCACTCAGGAAACTCCTGGATGCTAGTTACCAGCAGGTGGATCTAGAGAAGGAGCTAGAACACAGAGATGTCCTTTTGGCTCATCGTATGAAAAGAGGCAGATGAGGTGGCCAACTGCAGCAGTTACAACTCTCAAAGCAATGGCTTTCTCATTCTAGCAGCAGGAAAAGGACCTGCTTCCATCACTCACAGAGGGACCAGCGACCTGCAGCTTGTCTGAAATGCTCTGCGAAGGCTTCACAACAGCTTCCGTGTCATGACCCTCAGCACCACACCGTCCACAGCTTAGAGAAGGGTATCTCCAGCCTCTTGGAGCGTCTTCACCTCACGGAGACACAGAAGAAACAGGAAAGGAAGGTTCGGGGCAAATCACCCCAAACTCAGGCAGGTAGTGGATACCGGGAGTCTTGGCCACCTCATTCAAAGTTGCCTCACTCACAGAGTTCTCCAGCAGTCAGCAGCAACTGCACTAAAATGCTCCATTGCACTAACCAGTCACTTGTGCCCTTCATGGTCAGTATACCAAAGAGGTTGCAGGAGGTGACATTGAAGGGTTTTAAAGTAACTGTTGGTTGGGTAGGGAAACACTGGTATCACCTCAAAGTGCTAGATCCTGAGTTTGGCACTGTCAAAGAGGAGGTTTTCATGATGATGATGATGCCATCCCTGGATGGGAAGGAAAAATTGTAGCCTGGGTGGAAGAAGACCATGGAGAGAATTAACCCTGAGGATTGAAATCTGGTTACTCTCCGGCTGCTTCACTCAGGAAAGGGGACTAAAACCAGAGTGCACCAAGACATTTCTAAATTATGCTCCCAGTATCAAAGCTTTTCCAAGAGTGAAGGCTGTAGGCCAGCCCTGTTTCTGTGCCTAGCTTACCTGGTACTGAAAATCCCTATCCAAAAGTAGACCCTGGGTTCATCTGGAATTCCTCGTCTGTGGGAACGGTGCTTTGTTCCACATTGAGGACAATAAACTGAAAGCCTTGACCAATGGGGATGAGTGATCCTGCTCCTGTGGGATCACTGTGGCTGCTATTATCTGGAACCTGGGGATTGGATGCATCACAGAATTAACTTAATTGGCCTCAGTGGTTGCACCAATCAGAGTCCCTGCATTTGTACTCACAGACAAGGCAAAAGTACCAACTGTTCTGCTCCTTTGCAGATACTACAAACTAAGAATGACTCATGAGGTAGTGCCAAAGGTGGAAGATACTCTTCAGTAATCATTCGAACTGGACATGAATGATGCTGAATCGTCGATGGGTTGGAAAAAGGGGCTGCCCATATTGTGCTGTGCTACGCTAACACCATGAGACCTTGGGCCACCTCTTCTGCTCTTAACTGATTCTGCAGCTTGTCCTTTAGCTCACGTAAAATATATTTCACGTACTACTAAAAAAACCAGAATTCTATGGGGTGTGTGTGTGTGTGTGTGTGTGTGTGTGTGTGTGTGTGACTCTTGAATGCATGTGCATATTGTGTGAATCTAGGGGGTGTGTCTATGTGTGTGTATAGTGTGAAATGCAGCATCTGGAGCCCTCCTCCAGTTTCAGTGAATCCAGGTCTCTGGAACCACGGTCCAGGATCTGTGCTCTTACCAAATTCAGGGAGTTCCTATGACAGGGAGCTCTGAACATCCCGCTCTAGAAAGAGGACCCCCCATCCTCTGTTCTCCTACTCATACCAGCTGCCACAGGAGCGTGATGTGTTCAGCATTTTGTTGACAGTCTCTCTTGCTTTGCAGCCTCTTGTCCGTGATCATCCAGCACAAGAGTGATTCTATCTTGAAGGAGGGGCAGGCCACCCACAAGTCAAGGTAGGAAGGCCTGACACCCACAGCAGGCGGATTGGGAGGCCCCTGCCCATTACAGGGCTGCTGCGGAGATGCCCCTCCCCAGGCCATGGCGGGAGGAGCAGAGAGGGGCCTTTCTCCTTGTGACCTCACTGGAATCAAACCCCTTCATTCAAGAGGCTGGGTGTGAGCATCCAGGCAGTTCTCCCAACAATTATATGCCAGAAATTTAAAATCCCCCAGTGATGGCAAGCTGTTTGGAGGTTATAATACAGGATTACCCCTCTGCTCTTTTTTTTAAGATAAAATTTTATCCTGCATATTTGAGGTTTACAACACGATGCTTTGGGTTGCAGATGGAATGTCCATCCCCTCTTGAGTGATCTGTAATGGAGAAGTGGAAGGCTTCCCTCAGCTGACTTACTCATTTAGAGAATATTCCTAGATCTCCTCTACGTCCTAGGAATTGTACTAGGCTTTGAGGTTTCAGTAGCAAACAAACAAATGCAATCTTCCCTCGCCGATTTCACTGTCCAGATCTTCTTCTTATTATTATTATTATTAATTAAGTTTATTGGTACATTTTAGGTATACATTATGATGACACTCATCACTGGGACTTTGTACCTGAACATGTCACACCTTGGTTCTTATTTTTTTCCCCATTCCCCTGCCCTCCCTTCAACCCCTCCACCCATCCCTCTCTATTTACAAAGACTTGGTTTCCATTTTTCTCATATTTTTTCTCTCTCTCCTCTTTCCTCTCCCCCACCCCACCCCCACTTCCCCTTCTAATCCCCTTTGGACCTTTCTTCCTGTTTCCCATTATCTGTTATACATTTTGGTCCTCATTTACACTTTCAGTTTCTCACACCAGAGAAACAATTCAGTATTTACACGTGTGTCCTATTTACTTCACTTAAGAGTATGGACTCCATGCGCATTCATTTAGCTATAAATGTCTCTAGTTTGTCATTCTTTATGGCTGAGTACGTCTGGATCTTTTTCGCTCTATGGATTCTTTATCAGTTGAGAAAACCTGCAGATTCCTTTCAGAAAAAATATTTTAAATATATACCACAAATTAGAATTTGCTGAAATATCTATAGCAATAAAGATTACTATGTTACAACCCAATTTGGGACATAGTAATAAGACATAACAGCAGGTCTAATAACTATTCTAATTTTTGAGTAGTGTTGAGTGTAAACAATTCTTCAAAATACTTCCCACAGTTGTAATCTGATATGCAAATGCCTATGATTTCTATTTCAGTTAAGGGCTAGATGAATAAAGATGAAGGTTTTTGTCCCC